TAGTGGAAAATGAAAAGACTATTTACCTGTCATGATTGCTCTTCAAACATTTCACAGAAAATGTTTTTGCGCATGCACTTCATGCTGTCCAACAGCCTGCCCCTGAAATCTTCCTAAGTTTCTCTGTCACACTTTTTCCTCGGAGCGTGAAGCTTACCCGGTTGAATAGGTGGAGACGAGGGGGTCTCAGGGGACATGACATGATGTAAAAAGATGCCGCTTGGTTCACACATCAGCTCATCCCGACTTCACATGGAAATGTGGGGCTGAATAAAACATAGTCATGCAGCCTTATAGCAACAATGTGTAGGAATTGGGTTTGGTGCACACCAAAGGTCTCCACATGCCACTGCACTGTGGTAAGACACACATAGTGCTGTTATACGCCTACCCGTATAGGCAACGTGCATTTGTTTATAGACATTGTGAGAAGCTAAACATCCATGTCAACTAGTAAGGTACAGGAATACTTCTTCTCTCTGCTAGCGTCTTCAGCCAGTTCTCAAAATGTTTGCATGTGGAGTATGTGTACATGTAATCAGCTGTCGCCGTGATATCTACGGTCTGGGGCTAAATGGCTCTTTTGGAGAGGGTAACGCTATTTCAGATCGCTTTGTAAGGTTCCAAATGAAGCTTACTTGGTGATCGTGTGAAGGAAAGAGACACCTTTTAATGTGTGATGGCTTTATTTATTTATGTGTATGCAAACCTACAGTAAGAAGTTAGACGACTTTTTACATAATATCTGCCAGGATGTACACTCTGCTTCTCGCACAGTTGCTCCCTTTTTCTCCTCTTAGCTTAAATCTGTCACTCGATGAAATACTTTTTTAAGGTAAAGTTACATATTGTTGCTTCAAAAGTCAATTAATTGCATATTTCTTTGTACATGTGCATGTGTGTGTGTGTGTGTGTGTGTGTGTGTGTGTGTGTGTGTGAACCGATCAGTCGGGCACTTTGGAGTCGACCAGCTATCTACAGAACATTTCACCCACCAACCGTGTGTACTATTCTTCTGAATGTTGACTCGTTCCTGCACAATTTGTGAACCATTACACAATACAGAGTACAAGATCAATGTGCAAACTGTTGGTTTTGGAACCGTCCTCCTGTATGTGTGAGGCCGTTGAACCTCAGCAAGGAAATTCGAACGACATAATGAGAGCGATGGATGAGCTTTAAACCTGAAATAGATCACACATCATACTCCTAAAATAGCCTCATATGTTCAGTTACACAGTCAACCCATACACCTGTAACCGTCTCTTGTATGAAATAAGAACTGTGAATATATTGAGTGACGATCAATCAGTGCCCTGCTATCTCTCTGTTGTCCCTGCTGTTCTGAGGGTTCACTCAATCATTAACCTAATCTACTTACTGAAAAACTCCCACTCACAGTGTTTGCATGAGAGCTCGATGATAAGCTATTTGAAGTTGAATGTGGTGATGGGACGATCATTGACATGGACTAAACTGTTTACTGATCTGTGGCTGCCTTTGATTTCTCAGTGAAACAGCAGAATGAAGAGAAACGGTCGAGTTTGCATCAGACCAAGCAAGCATTCGTCATATATTATGGGACATTAGGATTTTGTTTCTCAATCCAAACATGCGCAGGATTGTTGCTGTCACTGTGTTCACACCTGTCTATATAAATGCATTCACAGGTAAAAGAATAGCTTAGCAGTCGCCTGCTGTCTCACTTTTGGAAACACCACCGCTGAAGTTGGGGATCAAAGAGAAAAAACAGAATATATTAAGCTCCTCATGAACTGTCCCTATTTTTTTTACATAGTTACAGCAATGTTTGTAAAATGCACCATCCCAAAAAAGCAAAGATTGTATCAAACTTAAATGATCCTGTTCACTGTAATTGTGAAATGTAAGACCCACTATCATCCAAATAACAAAAATCTGTTTCATGTTGTTGCTTTGACATATTTAATGTTCAGGATTAACCTTGTCATAAAGACAACTTCACAAGCTCTGCAAAGAAGTTTGAGCTTTACGTGGAGTCGTATTTGTACGAGGTCAGGTAAAAACAATTTAAAAGAACAACCTCCATCTACTGAGCTCTCGAGTAGACAGAGCTCCCCCAACCTTCAGTGAGGTGATCTGGTACTACTACCCCCTGACGCCCCTGAGGCCCAGCCACCGCCATCGGACCTTGTCATCCCTAAACCACCGCTCGACGTCCAGCATCGACCATTGGACTGTGTCGTCCCAACCAGAGAGTGGGACGACAGAAACGTGAGGAATACAAAGGAGAAATCCTTCCTGCATATTATCCCATACACTCTTTTGGAAAGGGTCTCGAGATAACTCTTGTTATGAATTGGCGCTATACAAATAATGATTGATTGATTGATTGAACCTGAAGACTCCTGCTGTCACCTGTAAATCAAAATGTTGCTATTTCTGAAGGGAGTCTTCTTCACAGTGGAAGAGGAGCATGTAGCAGCTGCCTGCAGGCTGCAGAGCTTTAGAGAAACAGAGTCTGGTTTTCTGGCACGTCACCAACTACCAGCATGCACGGAGGGTGAAAGGATTGAAGAGCTCAAAAAGCTCCAGCATCACGCAACTTAACCCAAATTACAACATAGCCTTTTGGCCTGTGGCCTTCAACAGGGTCATCCAAAAACCACAAGCCGAAAAACACTCTGTGTAATAAAGTTAATGAGCTTTCTGACCTCCTCTAGAGAAGGACGACTTGAAATAAAGGACAGTAGATTCAATGGGGGTTATTTTTAAGTTCTTTATTAGTTGTGATCGGGGGTGTGTCCTGGTTGCAGCCCCAAAATCCAAATCTACGATTGTCTATTTGTCTAATCAGAGGCGGGACTTGAGTTAAAATCAACTATTCAGTCTGTTTTCAACAGGCTGCTGGTCGTTTTCTTTACATCTTCATGTAATGTACATTTTTGTTAGTACTTTCAGTTGTAAAATAAATAGCCTACTTTACATTCTTTACTTTTTCCATAAAAAATACCAAGCAAAAACTAGTGCACACTGTCTAACTTGCAATGGACTTCCTTGCCAATGGAGAAGTTAGACAGCTCTCAAGTACTTTCATGCCTTTTCTAAGCTCTTTAAATTGTGTGTTTTGCATAAACATCTTTATATTTGAGTCCCTAAATAATCAAATTAAAAATATTTACATGTTACCAAAATGAGTTACTTACAAGCACATATAATTAGTAGGGATAGAAAGGGTAAAAACATGAAATGAATGTGTGTGTTGGCACCCACAAACCTCAAGCCACCCCTGTATAAGTCAGTGACCCACCTCAGTCAAAAAAGTCCGGACACTCCCCTGATTGTGATGATAAATATTTTTAAATGAAAATTTCATACAAATGAAAAGAAAAAAGTTTAGTCCTAATTATTCTATATTGAGTAAAATCAACTTGCTATATATTTCTTAAACACTAATTTGTCCAAATATTAAACTGTCATGATTGTAAAACATAATAATAATAATAATTTTAAAATAAATAAATAAATAGAATAACACTAATAATACCACAAGTAATAATCTAAAGTAGTACTACAATAACTACTACATCTGCTTGTGTAGTTATAATACAAATAATAATAATCAATTATTTGTTATTAGTAGCTTCTTCTTTTTCATATTATTTTAATTAAAATAAGTAGTTGTCTAATTCTAATTCTAAGACTTTTGCACATTAAATCGATTTTAGTTTTGCAATGTTATATCTGAGCTCAAACTTTATGTGTAGTATTTCTTTCAATGTTTACTCTCATGTTTTGTTCTTTTTTTCATTTATTTATTGACTGACTGTCCTCTAGCTGTGTTTGTATTTCATAACAGCATTGAGCTCATCTGGAAATGTTTTCTGTCTTTTTCTTCATCAAGTCAATCGGAGGATTCAGCAGAGAAACGTGCACACAGTCGTCAAATGATCCTTTATCCTGTTTTTAACATCTTCCAAACTAAACTGAATGCTCTGGTTTAAGGTGCAAGTGGTCTGCAACTCAGACAAAGCTTTGTTAAAAACCTGAACCAACGTGTGAAGACAGGTTTAAAGAGGACATATCTTTCCCCTTCTCCACCTTTTCAAACAGCCCTAAATGAAACATCTGTGCTGTGCTTTGATCAAAATATAACATGAATCAAGCACCAGAGGAGGTTTGTGACCCTGTATAAACCAGCTCTCTCAGAACGCTCCGTTTTGGTGTGTGTGTGTCTTTAAATGCAATGAGCCCCCCCCCAGCCCCCCCCCTGAGTTTTCCCCATAGAAATCACTCCTTCACTAGTGAGAATAAAAATGGTGGACCTGCACAAAAGTTTTGTTCTAGACTGGGGGTGGAGTCCATGGGTGGAGATACCAGGGGAGGGGATTATTTTTTTTACCAGAATCCCACTGTGACATCACAAGGAGAGTAAATTTGAAACACATTTTTCTCTGTGTTGTAAGACTTATGCAGACCACAAACAAAGGACTGGATGGGTTTATTTCACACTTTGTGGGTCAGTAGATAACCAGGTTACCCAAGTATACAAAAACACTGTACAAGTGGATTTTTCACAATATGTCCCCTTTAAGGTGACTCTGCATCTCAGACCAAGCTTTGTAAAAAGCCTGCAACCAACGTGTGGAGACAGTTTTAAGTAAATTCAGAAAAACTTCAAATAATTTGGTTTGGAATAATAAAGTCAATGAATAGTTTATATCTTTTGTCTTACAATACAGTACAGATATCTGGTGATGTCAAGGTTTCAAAGCATGTCGAACCAAACGCTTACAACTCAACACAAATCACACTTCAGTTCCGCAACGTTGCCGGCTGTGAAGAAACCAACACACACTTCAACGATGTGTCCCCTGATTTCACTGAGACGGTTCTTCTGTTGGTTTTTAGTTAAAGTGAAGTCATGTTTTTAAGCTTCTGCTGTTTGTCATACAGCTAAAAACTGAGTTTAGGTCCTAATCCTCTGCCGTACAGCTGAAAACAGAGAGAGTGACACAAGCCTTAACACAGACATGGTTTATTAGAAATGACTTAAAGGAACATTATTTAGACAACATTAATTCTTTGAATATCACATTTAAAGAAAACAAACTTAAGAGCATCATTCAAATGACAAACAGTACAGAGGAAAGAGATGTATCAGTTATTTACAGTGATTACGAACACAAATACAGCAGAGTACTTTATGTTTGACTCAAGAAGAGAAGGTGACGGTCCTGTGAAGGCACGGGATGGTGAGGTGTTTCTGGATTTATTTGGAACCAAATATAACGTCAGGAACCAGTCTGTCATCCTGTCTGTCAGTTTGGCGTTAAGCGACTCCAGTGAAGCTGAAAAACTCAAGTCTGGGGGAGTCGCTCCACAGTGTCCGAGTGGAGGATCCCACAGTGTCTCTCTAGGGCTTCAGTGTGAACTCGTCGTCCTCTATGTCCAGCTCCTGGTCTGTATCTGACACGTCTGAGTCCAGCTCTGTTGGGGACTGCGTACAGCGGCCGGTCTGTGACAGCTCTGTGTGTCTGTGCGCAGGGCTCTGGATCCCTGAGGGGTCGGTGGTCTCCTCTGCTTTGTTGCTCCTCTCGGCGGAGCTGTCCTCCTCCACCTCCCTCTTACCTCCCTGAGGGTTCTCCTGGAATGAGAAGTGAGAAGTGTATGAATGAAGTGGTCTTTACTGCACTTAGGTTGGATTCTTTTTGATACCGTGTCTGTTTCATCAGAAAGGTGCACAATATCTAAATTGCAGATATGCTCTGAGAACATTTTAATAAGAAAACATTGCCAATATATACATGTGCAATTTAAACAATGTGTAGGAGATTACTTGAAATTTTTGATCATTGAAATCATGAAAATGTCAAATATGGGGTGCCTATAGGGCCTCTATTTTTTGTCACTGTGGTAACTAATCAGGAACTGATGTCATTTGATTTGTACTGGTATCATATCTGCTTTCTCTGTAGCTCAGTGGGTAAAACCATTGCTAAGGTAATCTGAAGGTACCAGGTTTGATTCCTCAGGCTGACAAGGCGCCGCACATATAATTGAAATTTAGGGGTGGCAGTCTGTAAGGACTGGGTCTGGGACGGGTCTGACAAAGTCTAGAAATTAGTCCGGCAGCTGCAGAGGTTCAAGTTCACTTCCTGAGTACTGCTGAGGTGCTCTTGATCAAGACACTGAACCCTCCCTACCAGCTCAGGGGCAGACCTCTGACATCTCTCCATTAGTGCAGGTCTATAGGATCCAGTTTGTGCATGTGTGTGTATTTCAGCCTCTGTGTGTGTGTAGCATGTTCAACAGCAGAGTGTAAAAACTGGATTTCCCCTCGCAGGATTAATAAAGTACATCTTCTTCTATATCCAAATTAAAAAATTCCTGTGTTCATGACAACCTCATAGTATACTGCACACCTGCTAAGTTTACCACAGGTTAAGAAAACATCAATAAAAAGCACAATCAGAAGAATCAGAGGACGCGCTCACCTGTTTTAGTCTTCTCCACTTCGCTCGTCGGTTTTGGAACCAAGTTTTAACCTGAAAATTAAAATGAAAAAAACAATGTTCAAAACACTTTTTATAATCAGTGAACAGACGATCAATGTGATAAACTGTTGTGACCGAGAGGAGACTGACTGATGCTTCTGAAAGAGTGAAGAACTGGAAATACACATTCAAAAAATGTAGGTTTTCGACTAAACTGCAGCGTTGAATTAGGACCGACTTCATGCTGAGTTATTTTAACCCAGAGACGTGTGTCGTGTTTAACGCAGCCGGCTGGGTAGCTGGTTAATTTTGATTATACTTCTGGGTTATTTCTCCCACATTCATTACTCTGATTTTCTACCTGACTGTTGGATCATTTTACCAGAAACGTTGGGTTATTTTTTCTTATGTTTTCTTTCAGTAAAACCTGTACATTCATACAAATCTTGAAGGCTAATCAACTGAATAATCGTCTACATTTGCCTGAAATAAAATACACACAAGATAGATTTTTTTTTTTTATAAATATTTGCTTTCCAAAAAAGTAATCTACTTGAAAACTCACTGTTACCGACTTGCGTTGATGTGATATCACCTTTTTAAATGCCTTTATTAATCTATCCCTTTTTAATTCATTTTATTGCTCTTAGTGTCTTTTTCTTCATCCCTCTTCGTTTCACTCTTCTGTCTTCTGTTGCTTTTATATATTCACAGCATTCTTTGATTCACCACATTTCCTCTTCATGGAACGTCGTCTTCTTTTTTATTTTTGTCAACTTTTTGTTGACTTTTTATCTTGTATTGAATTTTCTTTAATTGTATTTCTGTATATCTTTAACTGCCTTTTGAGCCCTTCCTGATGTTTCCTTCATTGATATTATTTGTGTGGACTTCTCTCCGTTTGTCCTGACTCTTGATGTTTATTCTGTTTTTTTCCTGACTTCCTGTCTTTGTTTGTCTGTCAAAGCACTTTGTAAACTCTCTGTTTAACCTGTTTTTAAAGGTGCTATATATTATCACATCAATTCATAAATGCTATAATTATTTTTAATCAGCAGCAGCAACATTTTTTAAATATTACAGTGTTTATAATCCACGTTTTATGAAGATGAGATATGCTTTATGATGATTTTGTTTGTAGGTATCATTTGAGCTATAGGCTACTGTATGTGCTGAGGAGAATTTTGCGAGATGATGAAGAGGCATGATGGGAAAATAAAGACGAACAGATTTAATTTTAAGTTTTTTTTACATTTCTCGAAATAAAGAAGTCATAATATCGATCCATATGGAAATAATATAAAGTCTGAATGTTTAGAATAAAGTGAAAATATATGTAGCTTAAATTAAAGGATGAAAATAAGCAAAATAAGAGGACAGCGTTTTTTGTCGACTTTGACTTGATTATCAAATATTTGACATTATCCTAAAAATTATGAAAATACAAAATAAGAAAGGGACGTCGTTTGTGCCACTAGAAAGAAAAGAGGTCAAACACGTGGAGACGATGGTGTCACAGTAAGTCTGATAAAGCCAGAGCCTACTATTAAATTCAATAAATTGCAATACGTGCAAAACTTGTCTTCAAAACGAGTTTTCAGGCAAAAATCCTCAATACTCTCATTTTACAAATTTGTGTAACTAAGGGTTTGGATTGAAAACCTTGTCAAACAGTAATTCACATATCGGGAACAGGGTTGACGAAACACACATTCATGCCTAGATTATATGTGGAAACAATACAAAAAAGAAAAAGAAAAGAAAAGTCTAAGTGACCGGAGGTGGGCACGGCACATTTTTTCTGTGAGGTAGAGGCTATTATACTTCATCCAGAAATTGAATTCAAAACGTTTGAAACCTTATTTTGAAATCAAACATTACAAATGTGAAATGGCACGTTTTCGCAGAATGAGCCTCGAGCTTTTCGTGACTATTTTACGTTTTATTGCGTCGAGTGTAAGGAGAAAAAAATGAAGTAAAAAAAAAAAAAAAAAACGAACCATAGCCAAAGCTGCGTGAGTATGAATCCCTTATCCTACTTTGAGGCATGTGTGACGAAGATAGTCCCCACATGTATGTTTAGCGTTTGATGTAAAGAAGTTGAACATAGATTTATGTTGAAGAAGGACTCGGAGACTTGACCCGGGGCCCGTGGTCTACTCTCACCTGTCTCTCGCTGAGCTGCAGCATCTTGGCCAGGCGCTTCCTCTCCGGGGGGGACAGATACTTCTGCGTCTCAAACTTCTTCTCCAGCTCGATCGTCTGGTCGTTAGAAAAACGGACCTGACCGCCTTTTCGTTTGTGCAGGGGGCCGCTGGATGAAGGGGGTCCACAGCAGAGGTTTCCCTGCAGAGGAGAAGGATACAATTTATATTCGTAAGGCCTCCCATGGACTCGTGTCATCTTTAGTGACAAAGAAATAATTTACAAAGCAGGAACAAAATCGTTATAATGTCGAAAAATACGCAGACAAGGGAGTAAAAAAAAAGTAATCTCTCCAACATCCACTTCTTCCTCTAATATGAACCGAGCAGCGAGGAAGGCCCAACTGTGATTATACTGATGATTCATCGTTCAATAATCTTTTAATGAATCGGATTTACACTGCCTGAACATGCAGGTGTTTCTGGTGAGTCAAGAATGGGCGTGGCATATTTGCTGAATAGCGCCCCCTAACAATTTTCAAAGTTAAAGCCCCCTTCTTTCACTTTGTCCAATATTTATGACCTTGGGCCCCCACAGCAAACCCGCTAATTTGAAAAAGAAATGAGTAAGAATCAGTGGGGTTTTTTGGACAGCTAAAGGGGTCCACCATCCTTCTTGTTGTTTTTTCTCCCCCATTATTGTCATTATTGTTGCGATTTGTGTTATTATAGGATGCTCGGTCAGAATGATCATTACTGCCCAACATGACTGATATCAATGGATGGAGTTTAAATCAAGAGAAATAAAAGGCCTACTTTTTTTTTTTTTTTTTTTTTTTTTTAAATCAGCCAATCATATAGCTCATTAGAAGAAAAAAAACAGACACTAAGAATTACAAAGGAATGACATCAGAGTCGTCAATCGGCTAAAATAGAGGTTTTCAACTGAGAGCCGCATCACCAACTTCTTCATGAAAAATATTGAGCCAAACTTCTGATATATTTCAACCAATAAGATTAATTTAATTAAAAAAAAATGAGTAGTTTGGAACTCAGCCGGAACCAAATATGTGACAGAACAAAGAAACGGAAAAAAAAATGTTTTTGGAAAAGCGCTTCACAGATTTTGACATTTTGTTTCAAGCCACTGAAACAGCTCTAAATTGATATTTTAAACATCAGTATGGACCCTGATTTTCACAATCGTTGTATATCTAACAAACAAAAAAAATCAAATAGATAGGAGTAAAATGAATCAGCAATACAAACAGCTATAAGGATGTTTGAGAAAATGTGTCCTTTAGGGATAAATACAAAGATTTCAATCAAACTTTATTTCTACAGCACTTTGCAGACAAAATCAACTGCAGCTCAAAGTGCTTTAAAAGCCAGGGTAAGGCAGACTGCCAAAACCTCAAATATTGAAACAGGAAAGTGGGGTTTCATAGAACCATTAATACACGTATCTTATTTTAATCTAAACATTTTAAATTCTGGTAACTTTGTTGAAATCATGGATTCATGAGGGGACTCTGTGTATTTTATTTTGTGTCTATTTTTTTGTCTCGTCTTCATTCTTGGCTTTTTTTTTGTTTGTTTTGCCTTAACGTACAAAAAGCATTTGTTGTCATATTTGCAGTGATTTGCAGATGATAAAAAAAAATGTTTGGGGGGGGGGCTTTTTGTAGCTTTATTGTAGAGACAGGACAGTGGATAGAGTCAGAGATCAGGGAAAGAGAGAGAGGAATAACATGCAGGAAAGGAGCCACAGGTCGGATTTAAACCCGGGCAGCCTCCTTACACTATCCACGAAGGTACCAGCGCCTCACAAATGTATTTTGTTTTGGTAAAAATGTAAAAGAGCGTTTGTGTGGTGTTCAAAGGGAGCTGGGAATTCTCATAACATAGTTTGATGTTCATAAATTGTCTCTTAGAGTAAAGAAAAGTAAATTCAGGATTTTTGGAAATGATCAGGAAATTGTTGGGGATCTTACGTCAATGAAAAATGTGTAATGTTTATATTAAAATCGTTTTTGACACTTTGGGTTTTTGATTGATCATAAATGAACATAAAACAACATACTGACTATACCAAAGGAAACATTTCAAAGTCAACAGCAATCCTGTAAAAATCTAGAAATGTACTTCATTTGAAAGCCTTAATCTGCTCACTTATTGCTCCTCACATGTCTTAGAAATGTACAAACCTGTAATTCTTTTTGTTTAGAAAAATGTTTCATAAAGATATTTTTGAGGCTTTTAAGTGTGAATGATTGAAGTGTCGTTGTTTTTTTCTTTACACGTCTGGAACCTGGGGGCTTACTTGGATAGAAATGTAGGATATAGCAGTTTCCTTCTGTGTCTGCCTGTTCAGTCACTATTTAAAACATGACTTTGTTTTCACTGTCTTTATCGTTTTAAAATGATTGTGTTATGTATACTTAACGAAAGAGAAACATTCAAGAGGATTTAGGGACGTTGGAGGCAAAAAAGAAAAGCCACAGATATATTATGGGAGGAGCTGGAGTGTAATCAGCGTGTTGTTTGTCCTCTTTCCTCTCCACTTAATGACCTGCACGAACAATAGCAGCGCTGCACGCGGACCTGCTGCACGCGGGCCTGCAGCTCTTCTGTCTTTGAGGAAGGTCGTGACAGAGTGAAAACTATGGCCAAATATCCGCTTCATGTGCTTCCTGCTTTGCGGTGTGATTAGAGGCAATGGCATCCACTAACAGACGCTCGTGTCCTGTGCTCTCAGTGACACATTATAAATCTGCTGCTGCTGTGAAAGTGCTGTCAGACCTTCGGGTTCTGATGACCGCGCTGTGCGGAGGGAAGTTGGCTAATCCTGCAGGCTCTGTAGAGACTCTTTCCTAACCAAGCAGTGGAAAACACTCAGAATACAGTTCTGTCTTATTATGCATCTTGAAGCTGATCAAATGAGCAGAATTATCTTTAGGACATTTTATTGTAATGTTCTTAGTTGAAAAAGTCCAACATTTTTTCTATACTTTATATTTATGCACTGTACTTTTTTTTTTTTTTAAATTGAAAGCATGTTTAAATTCATGTAATTAAACTGTAAAGTCAGTTATGCAGTGAGTAGCAGATGTTGCAAAGTGAAATATAACAGGCTTACTCATTCTAGATGTCTGTAAATCAATTCTTCCTGGTTAGATATTCTTCTAAACAATTGTCTTCACAGTTATCCACAACATCATTCATTCTATGACAAATGGCGTCACTATGCTTACATGTGTAAGGTTTTCAATTTAAATGATCTCAAACGTCATGCTTTCTATCCAGAATGAACATTCAAGAAATCTGCCGTAAATAATTCTTCCTAATCCCTATCCTTAGGATCATTCTCACTTCAGATTTCTACAACCGAGTTGTTGCTTCTCGTCATAATTCTGATTTGTGATATCCACGATGAAAAATGAGTCAATGATGTCATTTTGAACATCCTAAATTATAATTATAACGTGTAACAATAGGATTGTAAATATCTATCAATTGTAGACATCTTGACTGTTCATTCTGGAGAGGAAGAATGTGGTGGTAGAATTTAAAATCTCAATGAATAGTAAAAGTGACGTCATTTGATCCAGGAGACATGACGTCGTGGATATCGGGTGTTATTGATAGTACGAAAGTTATTGTGAATGTTCTTAAAATCAATTATTTTGATGTGTTATTATGGATATCTAAATGATTGGTGATAGGTGGTTATTTTTCGAAACTCGGGCTTTAATAGCGTGAAGCTTATAAAAGATTTAAATGGCAAAAAAAAACAACAACTCTGATTTCTAAATCAATTATTCAGTTTTCTTATTTAATGTGACATTAGTTATAATAGGCTATTTATTTGTATGCATCTTGTAAGATTGCCACACGTTGTCTTCAGATTTAGAGAAATGCTCTGACTCTAAAGCACACCTTTCCATTTGTATTTCCTGCCTCAATCAGAATCTTCATCAATTAACCTTTTATTCACCTCATTTAAACTACAAATACACCAGGTGTTAACAACAGTAACGCGGCTGTACCTTCAGGACATCTGAATACAATGAAGAACTTAAATATAAAATAGCACAAAGTTTTTCACAAAAGCTTTTGGTTTTTTTCAGGGCTTTAGGATGTGAGCAATGATTGTATGTACCCAGGTAGGGTTTTAAAACGGTGACTGCAACGTTGGATTCTTGTTTTAAAAACGTGATTATTTCAGTTTGCAATTCTAAAAATGAAAATCCCGTTTCTTCAGGCTGTGTGAGTTGTGCAGAAGCGTCTGATCATTTTCTCTAACGTTGAGTTTTTATGCGGATCTTGTGCAATGAGGATAATGTGCAATAGGCTATGTGTTGTTGTTGTTGTTTTTTTTTAGTCAGCTAAATGTGTGCAGCACTGGAGTGAGCCCAAGGCAAATCTCCCTCGTATCGTGTCTTCATCACATCTAGAACTCTTTCCCAGTAAATGTAAATTTCTTTGAAAGGTTTTTGCAAATATTAGATCAGAAAAATAGGTGAAAGGAGAGCTGTTGTTAATAAAAAAGTCAACAAGAGTCCCGAGAAAACAGCAGGTCCACAAAGCAGAGCACTTAAAGCGCTGTTTGACTTTTTCTTCTCATATTGTGTTCCCTTTAGCTGTTCTTTATAGCAGCGTATAAAATGGCTGGAAACGATGAATAAACAGACAGCCGAAATAAATGGGCTGAGAAAACCATAAAGTGATTATGATTAAACCATAAAGTAGCCTCTTCTTATAAATTAAATGGAAACGAGCTTTAATTAAACATTCATTTAACTTTATTTAATCTAGCCTTTGTAGTTTTACCTTATGGTGCTTACATGTTTTTTTTTAATTATCATTTAAAGCAGAGTCATACCGTTTCTGTTTTTTTTTTTAAATCCTTCTAAATGACTCTTTATCTATTCTTCTAAGGTCCAATTAGGCTCGATGTATTTTCCCTGTTTGCTTCATTTTCCTCTCGCCGCCAACCATAAAGAAAGTCAGCCACATCCTCACAGGCCAGGCAGAGGAAGTGCAACAATATGTGAAAAACGGATCCCGGGCTATCAGAGGCCGAGTGTTTCCTGAATATGTCTGTATTGAGGATGTCGATAAAATAATCAGCAGCGTGCAGCGAGCTCCCGAGGAAGCGGCTGGCCGGGGTGAGCCAGGAAAACATTTAACAGCTTCTGAAACCAGATTTACTCCTATCGACAGGCTCACGGCTTCCGCTAGGAACGGAAAAGGGGCCGCAACACAAAGCCAGACGGCCCCGCATGTCACACTATACTTAAGAGGACCATCACTTACATCTTTTACCCCCCAGCTGCACACATGGACGACAACAAGCCAACCTTTTGAAACGGTTTTCTGTAGCCATTAACAAACCCTGAAAGCTGTGCCAATACGCCCAAATCACTACGCGTAATAGATCATTTAAACAGTGGTTTAAAGATCGCATTTTCTCGGTAGCCTATACAGGATAAGGTTGAAGATTATTTTAGGATCAAACTCGTTTAATGGGGTTTGAACGCGACTTAACACGCGTGTTTATTAGTCACAGAGGATTCTTCTCAAGTCAGATCCTTAAACTGATTATTAGAATTATCTTTCTTGAAGGGGGATGCATTTGGTCATAAGTAAGTAAGCGCGCGCACACACACACACACACACACACACACACACACACACACACACACACACGCACGCACGCAAATAACAAGTGATTTAGAGCTCAGCTATGTTTTAGTCACTGGCTGACTTGCTCCTCTGATGTTTCAGAACAATGGGAGTCAGGAAAAGGAGTCAAGGTTGCCATGCACCCCCCCCCCCTCCCTCCCTCCTGCACCCCACGTCCCCTATCACCACCACCACCACCACAAACGGACTGAATGGATAAACTTGCTGCTATTGTGCCCCCCTCCCCTCCCCCTTACCCTGTCTGTCACAATAACAATGTGACTCATGTGCGCGCGGACAGGCATCTTTCCGAAAGTTGAGCTGAAGGAGCATGCACTCTGCGATGTGTTTATTTAGGCTGCATGTCTTTGCAGATTGTCTTGGGTCTGACATGCATGAATGGCCAAGCGTGATATACTTATGCAAAACTGGTTTCGTTGACGTCGAAACGAAGCTTGCGAGGACAGAGAGGGTAAAAGTTATCATATAGCCACATCATCCGAGCCAGTTTGAGTTGTCTTGTACTGAATTTCAAAGCATGTATTCTCATTTGGAGAACAATATCCCGAGATGTAGCCTACAATAAAGCATAATAATAACAACAGATGTAAAAAAAATAAAAAATAAAAAAAAGAGTCTTAAGAAAGGTGATACGTTTAATACACACACAAAAAAAGACTTAGAGTCCTTTTTTCAGCTGTGTTTTTTTACGCACATTCGTCAAACTCACCGAGAGGGTCGTGCCTCAGCAGCGCCTGTGCGTATTCCCCCATCGAGCGGTGGTGCTGGTGGTGGAACGGGTAGATGGACCCAGGGAAGGTCCCGGCGGAGGCGTATGTTAACGCCGCTGCTGCGTGGTGGGACAGCGCCGGGTGGATAGGTGTAGGTTCATAAATCGGCGTCCGGTACGGCGAGATGAAACTCGTAAAGGAGGAGTTGGGCGACGGGAGAGTCGGTGTGGGGATGACCGGTGTGGAGCAGGAGGAGGTGGGCGAGGTAGAAGAGGGAGATACGGAGGTGACTGTCCTTCCAAGAATGTCCTCGATGTAGAAGGGGGTCGGATGAGCCGGTTGGATGGGAGTCGGTGCGTAAAGTGGGACGCTCATGGTGCTATACGGTCGTTAGTTAACGGAAGGTTGCGTCGCTCTTGCCGCTCCTGAAAGCCTTCCTCTTTATCGACAGTATCTGAGAAGAACTTCTTTTTCTCGTCTTACCTCCAGTGTGAACTTTTTTTCACCAAATAGAGAGTCTTAGGAGGCCGTTAGAGGGTTTCGGTGTCCATCAGGTTGCGTTGTTGGACTAGCTGGTACTCCGTCCAACTGTTGGGTCTGTTATCTGACTGCAGGCGGAGGAGGGAGGAGATAAGTGGACGGGCAACTTCCTGCAGGTGGCCCAGCAGCCGTTTCTGATTGGCTACCACAGAGCCACACAGCGATCAAACGACAGATGAGAGCAGATACAGGCCTACGTTTTTCAAGAGAATCAGTCCGTTACATTTAACCATCTGGTGCATCTGAGACGTGTATAAAGTAATAAAATGGTGCAATGATGACTCTGCAGGCTTGTTTAAAATTCCTCCTTCAAAAGGTTGTTCTTGCTCAGAATTACATTTAGCCACTCATGTTATTCGCACCGCATTTTTTTTAATGTGCGTAAACGATTTGCCCAGTTTGTCTTTTTTTTTTTTTTAAATAAACATTTTCGGTCATTTTCTCATCATGCATCTCTTACGAAACAACTAATTAACAAGCTGCTGAGCAAAGCTTCCAGGGATCAGCAATACAATCTGATAAAAGTATTAAACAAAAGAAGAATATGTTTCATCCCCTTATTTAGAAAAATAGGAGAAGGAGCTTTTAATTGAACCTTTTAAAGTGTCTCTTGGATTTTTTGTGGGTCTGTTTTGTATCTTTTAGACTGTTTTATTATTTTTTTTAAGTGGGTTGGTCCTTTTTCTTTTTGTTCCTATTCTTTTGGCATTTCATTTGGCTCAGGGTTTGTGTATCAGCCGAAATCAGCCAAATACTGATTAGAAATTGATCCAATTTGCAAAAACGATCAAATGCCATTCTATGTTTCCTGACTGACGCGAGTCTACGAGCATCATCACTCTCCCTGCTTTTCAAGCCTGAGATGAGGAGAGGCTCATCAGGCAGTTACAGTAAATCTCCAGGCTGGAGCACCCGAACATAAGTCCTCAACTCCTCTTCAAATGTATAATCCTCAACAGCCTCACTCCCTAAACTAGACCTCGACTTTCATGAAGTGCACACATTCTGTAGTTGAAGTGGCTTCAAAGATTCACCCACTTCAAATCAAATCCCCTCAAAAAGACTGTCTACAAACAAACAGAAGTTTCAGCTGCAGAGTAAACTCTCATAAAGACATCAAGCCTTTTCCTCAGTCATAAAGCTTTGGCTTAGGTTTTACGCACAGTGCCAACGTGCGTTAAGCTGCTCTTTTGACTAATCAAACAGCTGTGAGTGTTATCTCAATGTAATAGAAGTGAACTGCAATCCACATTCCTAACGGGGCAGCTCAATGGCGAGTGATTAACTCACAATTTGAATGTTTTCCTGTGAAACGCGGCTATCAGTGCGGCCGAGGTGATAATGACTATAACTGCAAATCGCTTTAATGGCTCACTTAGTGCTCGTTTATCCGCTCACACAAGTTTCCGCAAAGTGTTAAACAATAACCGATAACTTCTTCTTTGTTTCAGAGTTACAACACGGACACAGGAGCTGCCTTTCGGAGCTTTTTTTTTAAATTATTATTATTATTACCAGGTGACTTCATTAATGATTCCGACATCAATCTAATGGCTCGATATCCTGATGCGTCTTTAAAAGCGCGCCTGCCAACTTTCTAACGGCTGTAATTTAGATAAAGTAGACCCAGAGAGCAAACAGAGATATGAACAGCCTTGAAGACATGAAAGAAATCCCCAAACTGCTAATATTTGGACTGAGACAATCATTGCAGCGCATTGATCCGCTCGGCTTCTCCCGGCGTCAGACTGCTGTCCCAAAAATGATTGATAACTCCTCAGCAGAGGCCTCGAGATGCTCCTCGGCAGCCGACGGCGCCATGCATGCTACCTTTCAGTCTACTCAGAGATACAGGCCTGCTGCTGCCCACATTAGACATTGTTGCTTTTCTGTTTGTCCCTATTCTTCTCCCTGCATCTCCCTTTATCCCATTATTGAAGCCCAACACAGTTTCGGCTGTTGAACATGAGTCTGGTTCTGCTCGAGGTTTCTGCCTCTTACAATAAGTTTGTAACTTTGCTAAATGTTGCTTAGTGTTCGTGATGGATCAATGCTGGGTCTTTGTAGATAATACAACAATGATAAGGTATTTTACTTGCTCTTTTGTAAAGTGTCTCGAGATAACATTTTATGAATTGGCGCAATACAAAGATTATTTGATTGACATTATCCATCAGTTCATGAAAACCACTAATACATTCTGACAAACGTGTGCTATCTTTTCCAGCTTCTCTGGTTTCTTTGTTTTCCTATTAATTGTATTATAAATACTCCAATGGTTGCATAATGCAAACTGGAAAATGTTTACACCATCACCACATTGGCTGCGTTTACACTGCAGCCAAAAGTGACCTGAATCTGTTTCCTTTTGTTCCTTTGTGAATCTGATTTTTGTAGGACAGTCGTGTGAACAGCAATAGTCACATGGAATTGGATAATCAGATTTGGGCCACTTTCACAATTATGTGGATTTCTACATGAGTCAGATGCAGGTTACATTTAAAACGTGATGTGAAGAGCATAACAAAAAAAAATCACATCTGAGCCAAAAAAAAAAAAAAAAAAGCAGAATTGAGCACCATGGCTTGCAGAGTAAACGAATCATAGACTGATGTGAAAGCCTGCATTCTCATGATGGCCATTAGAGGGCAACAGTGGTTTAAAAAAAAGTCATGCTGTATATGGAAGCAGATGAGAAAGTGGGCCTACTTCTCTGTTGATTTATTACCTCTGTAAATCTGAATGAGTTTATGGTGTCATTCTACAGTTTCATGCTTTCCTCTATACAGCATGATATTGTAAATTATCTCCCAACTTAGAGCAAAATAAGATAATTAACTAGGTAGGTATTATCTACAATTCTACATTTCATCCAAAGCGACGTGCACCAGAGAGTAAGTACAACACAAGCAAGTATGTAGAAAAAAAGAGAACAATGTCAGTAAGTCTAAACGAACAGCTTTAAGTCCGTTTGGACACACAGGTGCTGACAGGCATTGCACAGAGGCAAAGCACAACTTTGACGCCTTTTCTTAGGAGCTCTAATCAGTATAAAAACCATCTTAAAACATTGTTATCAAACAAAACCATCGTCATTACCATCATCATCATCAATAATATTGAAACCATCATCATCATTAAGTTAGTACAGATGAGAAGAGTCTAGTCAGTTAGGACCCTGTTGTGAAGGTTGGATCAGACTCCTTTCATTGGCAGAGCGTAGTGGGCGGGAGGGACTGTAGACCTGGATAGTGCATGTAAGAACACCTGCCAGTAGAGTTGCAAGAGTCAAAGCGTGATATCACAAGTGCCTGTAGGAGGCATGTTCTGACAGGTAAGGTCTGATCTTCCTGATGTTGTACAGGGCAAATCGACATAACCGGGCAATCGAGGCCACTCGAACCTTAAATGTTAGATGGTCGGTTATCAATTATCATTATATGATTGATTAGGCCCTTCAATGGCAACCTGAACATGTGCTTTTTAGAGTTCAGTTACACTCTTCTGTCCGTTTAGTATAGCAGCCTGTGACTTGTTAATAATACCTCCTGCAGAGTGCTATATCTCTGCAGGAAACAACTAGCAGGAGGCGTAGCCATAGACTGGCTGCAGCCCGGGTCTTTGGGCCATGTTCTCTGGCTCTACTGTCTGGATGTAAACAAGCACAGTGGAAGGATGGCATCTTACTGGAGTAGTGCGTATTGCAGCATCTTGATTTGGAGAATCGATAAAAATGTATGCAGGCTCTATGAGGATGACCTGGCTTATTTTCTGTTGCAATGTGTACCCATATTTAGCACAGGCACGAGGACACAATGGTGAGGGCTGCTCACCATTTGAAATAGTTGTGCTTCATTTGGACTGTTTTCTGAATGTTTCCTAACCTTTAGACTAGTTGATTAGTCTGCATTTAGATTTCTGTTCAACCAACTTTGGAATTAAATGCTAGGAACATAAATAATTTTAATGCTAGATATGTTTTCAGCATAAATCGGGCAACTGATTTTTCTTTAAATTTGTTTAAAGCCCCAGTGAGGAGTTTTTAACCTGTTATGAAACAGACTGATGTCAGTAGGGATGCATCTATATAACTAACTAAAGCAAACAAGACCATTGGTGACAAAGCTTAGTATTTCTATAAAGTTATTCTCAATGCGGCCTGTGATTGTTGACACAGGGTAAGTGTCCAACAGAGTGAGTTACAACACAAGAAACTGATGTTTTTGTATATTTTCCAAGGCAAAGATTCCCCATGAGTGATACATTTGACTGTTTAAATCGGCAGGATGAGTTTTGTCGAACTGGCTTATTTACCGGGGCAATGCATACAGTCACCACCATTCAGTCCAGGTGTGTGGACGTTAACCTGCAGAGAGGAAGGGACCAACCTTCAGACTAGTTGGTTGGCCTGAATTCAAATTTCTTTTCAACCAGCTAGGGAATTAGACGCCAGAGACATCCCTAGTTTTACCGCTAAATATGTTTGCACCCTACTGTCAAACTTTATGCTCTAATATTGAATCGGTAGAGTCAAAAAGATAAAAGATCAATTACACAGTGCTGTCTGGAGCTTGGTGCTTTAGACAAACACATTTTTGAGATTCAAGACCACATCAAAATGAAAACCAACAGAACTGGATACTTACTTTCAGCCCATATTTAGATTTTAAAATATCAAACATTGCAGAGTGTATTGAAGCAATCTTATTTAAAAGCACACTATTGTAACTTTTAGAGTGGCGATAAGTTTTGAATGAACGTTACTTTACTGAAGCGATCACCTTTAAGGGAGGTTGTCCACAGTTTGACCGTTATAAAGTGCAGTCAAAAGATGCTATCCAGTGTCTGCTGGGTATCTAGGAATGCACAGACTGGTCTGTTTTCACACAGTCAGATGGACCAAGGGTTCATCTGCAAGTACCATGGACATAAAGCCCCTATTCCACCAAGCAGTCCAGTTTGGTCCAGTTCAGTACGGTACTCTTATCTGGTAAGCAGACATTCCCATCCAGGAAGATACTTTCTGAAGTTCACAGATGACAGAGTCATTGCGAGTCTGTTACAGGGGGAGGACACAGCACCTGCTGGATGATTTTATTGAGTGGTGTGATGATTCCTTTTTAAATTTAAACATCAGTAAAACCAAGGGCATGTGCATAGATTGTAGAAGGAAGTCAAATCCATCAATCCAAACAGAAATCAAGGGACAGAATGTAGAACAGGTTCAGTGTTATAAATACCTGGGTATTGTTATCGACAACAGGCTGACATTCAGTGAGAACACAGATGAAGTTTGTAAGAAAGCACAGCAACGTCTGTACTTTCTCCGTAAGCTGAACTGGTTTGCTGCGTGCAGGAAACTGATTAGATTTAGGTTCTATCACCAGGTTTGGTAATCTGTCAATAAGAGACAAAAACAGTTTGCAACACATCCTTAAAGTTGCAAGTAAGATCATTGAGATGAAACTACCTGATCTCAAACACACCAGAGGATGTAGAGGACACTAAGATGTCTCGATCCTTAGCTGCAGCTCTTTCTAAAGGTGAGACTATCTCAGAGACTCTCTCACCTTCAGAAAGAGAGCTGCAGCTAAGGATCGAGACATCTCAGTGTCCTCTACATCCTCTGTTTGGTGAGTTTGAGATTCTGCCTTCAGGCAGGAGATACAGATGACCAAAAGCAAAGTCCAACAGGTTAAATAAATATTATATTACTCACGCCATCAAGCTTCTGAACTCCAAAGATGACCCTGATGACTGACAATGGGGTTTTCATTCTGGTTTTATGGATGTTTTCTCATACATTCTCAGTTTCCTGATGAACTCTTGTATTTATGTATTTAATGTTGTTTGTATTGTCTGAGTCTATGTGCCTCTGTTCTATATGTTTTTTTATATTATTCTCACCTGGCTGAAAAACTAATTTCCCCTCTGGGACAATAAAGTTGAAGTTGATCTTGAAAACAGTGATGGATATGAACAGCTGGAGTCGATGCCTGGTGTTCAGGTCGGAGTCAGTTTGTTATTTGTAAAAACAGAATTATTTCAAAATTAAATTCAAATTTAATTTTGTATGACAAAGAAAAAGGAACCACTATAGTGCATACATAAAAACCATGAATGAAGTAATCAGAGTGGTCCGTAGAGCTTCCTAACAGTGCCGTCTCCACTTGTCTCACTGCATCTGCTCGAAAACAAATCAAAAGTTCTGTTCACTTGAAAAGCCGAGCAGCTCCAGCTCGTCTCTTTGTCCACACTTGAATCCTCAGGTGTTGTTCTCCGCTGGTTTCTTCTGGTCCGTCTCTGTTGGTTTCTTAGAGTTCTTTCCCGCCTCAGACTCGGAGCAGGGCTGCAGAGTTCGCAGGACGTGCTCCAGCTTCCACTGCTCCTCCTGTAAGGTGTGCTCCTCCAAGGTGAACTGACCCTGCTTGGTACGGGTCAGCTCCTTCACATGAGCGCACGATGACAGAGCTGCAGCAAATACGCACGTTATTCTAATGTATCAGCAGGGTTGATTATTTTTCTCATTGATTGATCATAACTTAGGCAATGTTTACACAATTCTGAAAACAGAAGAGTTTTTCATTTTGAAAAAAAAACTGTTCCGCGTTCAGACGACAACATCTGGATAACAGCTGTGCACATGGTTCCACAGAAACGATTAAAGCGGTGCAGTTTAATACTAAACCAGTAGTTGGCTGTGTGACTTTGTGATGAAACAACACGCATTGGCACACACTCTTCCTTCTACAGAGCGGTGAGGTGTAAACAATCATAAAAGACGAACGCATGAAGGTTGGTGTGGCCGGACGATGAGGCGGAGTTATTACTCCAAGTGACCTCAAACATCAAAGTGAGTCAATATCAAGAACATTTCGGCTGAGAGTCATGCCATTCAACATTATAAAACACTAAACAAGGTGTTCTGCCATCGTTGTTGTTGTTGTAGTTCCCCTCCTCGCCAAAGCAACTGACTGGAACTGTAATGTGCATGTGTGAAATGTGTCCGTTTTCAGAGGAGCTGTATAAGGCAGGTTTACACGACGACGGAGACGGAGCTCTCAAAAGTTCACGTTTTCCACAACCAAAAAACACTGCTGTCGTATGAACAAACAGAAGGTTACCGTTTCCAGATGAAATCGTTGTCATGTAAACGTGGCCTTAGACTCACCTTTTCCCAGATCATCCACCAAACTTCTGACGTAAAATCCCCCGCCACACTCGATATCTGTTACAGACATACAACTTTATTTGAGTGTGTATCTCAGCATAAAAAGCAGCAAAAAAAGGTATAGTTGACGTGACGTGAAAGTCGCATTAGTGCGTTAAACAAAGTGTGCTGACCCAGAGTGAAGAGGGGAGGATTGAACTCCTGCAGCGTCAGGTTGTACACAGTCACCGGTCTCGCTGGTTTGGCCTCAACTTTGTGCCCCTTCAGCAGCAGGACAGACAAACGCTGGCCGTCTTTCTTCAGAGCCGAGTAGCTGAGATGACAGAGAAGAGATCACGATAATAAATCACACCTTACTGAAAAAGCCTGGCCGTGAAATTCAACTCCATATCACAGGTCGACCCTGTAACGTCTTGAGAGTCTTGGCTGTTTGTCTGCATGGAGTGCCATCACGGTCACAGGTAAATAATCATCACATGGGGAAGAGACAAATGTGCAATCCAATTCAAAAGGCCTTCTAGTGACCCCTAGAGGTTAGGATTTGATGGGAGCCCAGCAGCATTGTGATGATTTATCTCTTCTTAGACACCAGAGCCCAGATGTTCAAAAGTAATCCAACAAAATCAAAGCTATCAGATAGAATCTAATATAAAGTAATCCAATCCTGGTTCTTATCTGGAGAAAATCTGCAGTTTGTGTACTTTTTTTTTTTGACCTCTTTAGGTAGGACAGCTTTGGAGAGACCAGATCAGATCAGGATTACAGGTGGAACCTGCAGCCAGAGCAACAAAGACAACAAGCTGAGCTCCCTTGGTAGTAAAGGGTCCGGACATGTTCCCTTTTTGAAAGATCTGCGAGCTAAACCCCTGAACTGAACAGTTTTGCAAACACAGATTCCTTTTTCTACTCTCAGATCGGAGGCTTTACTCACAGCGGAGGAACTTGCATAATGTCGCCAGTAAACGCTTTCAGCTTCTCTTCAAAGTCCGACCTGGTGATGTGTTCTGTGGACAGAAATCACAAAAAAAAAAAAAACATCATCATGTAACCCGGAGACAACAAACTGCACAGAGAGGCAGAGATATAAGGAAGAGACGAGACGTTACACTGCGCTTCATTTGCCTTCTGTTCTTAGTGAAATCCACTTGAATAGTTCCAAGAAGATACTGACATTAATCAGAGATTATCTGGGATTTGTTCTTACCTAAAAAAAAAATGTCCATGAATGCTGGAGAACTCTTTAGAGGAAATTGGAGCTCTGGTAGGCTTGAGCACACCTACTGGTTATTGTGGGTTTTTTCATTTTGCACATTTTAATCTGTACATAGATACATAATTCAGATATAGTCAACAACTCTTATTTCAATCATGCAATGTTTAGTCTAAACTCTAAAATGTTAAAGGAGCAATCTGTAGTGAGTGAAATGATAAAGTGACCTTACTATATGATCAGACATTAAGGAAACATGCTATGTTGAAGTGCTGGCTTCTCTGACAACAATGCAGCAGCCAGTATGTCCTCCTTCTAACTTTAGATTCTGCTCCTGAACAATGTGGTTTGAGAGTGGAGTGCAGCGCCCACTGCATCCTGGCCCTTAAGGCTTTTCTTAGGACTGTCTCAAGTAGAAATGAATTAAAAAAACTGGATATTGGTGAATGAGGACGGTTGATGTTTACCAAAGTCTTTCTCCAGAATCACACTGCCAGTGGCATCAAGAGTGTCTGTGGCTTTCCCCAGTTCTCCCACAGCAACATATTTCTGGAAAACAAGCAGTAGAGTCTTACTTACACGGAGCTGTTCAAACCTGCGAATTGTCTCTTTGCTCGTTGTAGGAACAAAGAGAAAAAAGTGAAGAAAAAAAAAAAAAAGAAACAACTCTGATGCTAACTGTGCACACAAGAACAGTTATCTTTAAAAGTCTAGACCCCCTGACATTCATATATGGTTCTTAAGCCGTCTGCTAACACCACTGAGCAGCTAGTGTGCATTGAGTATGTATAGGCAACGTTCACCAAACACAGCGGCCTGATGTTGCGAGAGACGAGATCAGCGGGACTCACTTTGTTTTTGTTACATTCACTTTTCTTTTTACTGTTGAGCGCAGACAAACTCACCTTAGAACCAGTCAACATTGTGCTGAGCATCTTTGTGCCACTCCCAACTCCTACAACTGGAATAAACAGAGAAAGTGTGTGTAGTTATTGTGATCACATATACATATATATATATATATATATGAGAAATAAAACCGGAAAAAAAACTGAATGGCGCACACACACACACACACACACACACACACACACACACACACACACACACACACACACACACACACACACACACACACACACACACACACACACACACACACACACACACACACACACACACACACACACACACACACACACACACACACACACACACACACACACACACACACACACACACACACACACACACACACACACACACACACACACACACACACTATATTAGTCCTGCTAGTGTCACGGAGTTCATCACACCCAGTGATGACGCTGTTACAAGTGTTTTCAGGCTGAGCCGCTGTATTGTGAACACGCATTTGTCACTACAGAGATTCTGGAGCCTCCTAGTATCTTCATAAACAACGAGGCTTCTAACAGCAGTCTGAATAGAGCTTATGTCTTTCTTTAAAAACATTAGACATGGAAATAAGTGTGGTTGAACAGGTTAGTAACTTGCAAATTAGTCTTTAAGATCAGTATTTTTTACTATATATATATATAAAATATATATCAGTATTTTTTTTTTAAAGTGGTAAAATCGAGATTGTGATCCTGCAATAAAATATCCACAGGTAAAGGGTTTAATGGAAGATGGTTTTAGGCAGCAAAGACAACACCTGAGCTGCACCTGTGTGCTCACCTAACACCCCGCAGGCAGCGCTGTCCAGCGTCCCTCCGTGCCCCATCTTCAGGCTCTGCTTCTTCCTCTTCCTCGGGTTGGGGTTCTTCACACCAGCCTCTTAAAGACAGGGGACACAGAAACATTTCACTGCCTGCTTCATCAAATCAAACTTCTTGTTATTAAAATCACGCGTCTGTGTTTCGTCCTACCTTTGAGTAAAGCTTCCTTCAGCATGTTCAAAACGTCTGCAGACGTCGGCCCTTTCTTTTTATATACAGCAAATAATCCATTCACAGACTGTAGTTTGGAAAGACAATTAGTTATCGGAGCAGCAGTGTTGCTTATATTTCCTGCCATGCTCGATCTTCACCTTCTTCTTCTTCTTCTTCTACGCCTGAAACTATTCTTCTTCTTCTACGTGTTTATATCTAACTCTGCTAATCTTAACCTTTGTAGTATTCTGCCATCTGCTGGTTAAAACAAGTTTTTAAAAAAGGGGTTTGAAAATAAAAAACCTCACGACATTGAATACTTTGGTACCTATAATGCTGTTAAAGCATTATCCCAGATTTTAATTGTGATGTCTTATAATCTGTTACAAAAAGAGTTAAACCCTCTTTTTCCTTCACTGATGATAAATAGACTATCATCAGTCCGGGGGCCACATGCGGCCCCAATCAACTCTCAACATGGCCCTCAGGTCAATTTTAACATATCAATTAATTGGAAACATGAAGAAAACATGACAAAATCAGCCATGAAATCATGAAAACCAGAAATAAGTCCATAATAATAATTGATCACTGGTGTATGTTGAGTTAAATTTGAGACATAATCGACTGTAATCGTTTTTGTGTACTACAATGTGGCCCTCTGGCAGTGAGAATCAAATGAATGTGGCCCCTTGCTGTGACCGAAGTTGGCTGTGTTTCCAACCTAAAAAATGACAAACATCTTTATATGAAAACGGTTCACTGAGGGCTTTTATCCTCTTTCATGTCATAGAAATTCAATTTTAAAACACTCCTCAAAAGATGCTTGTCTGTTTAAGGGTGGTGATTGTGATATATAAAAAAAAAAAGAGATGTTTTAGTTAGCTGTTACTCAGTGTTTATTATTATTCAGGACGGGGCGATTCTAGAGTATGTTGGGGACCTCCAAACAGCGTTCATCACCATCATGTCTGCCAGTGTCCCGATGATTACTCCTCTTCCTGTTTCTTTTTCTCTCTCCTATAGGATAACTATAGACGGACAATTATTCTTAACTTTTCTTTGTTGACTTTCATTGACAAATTGTGTTTTTTTTTACAGCAATCATGCATGCAACGCTCAGCAAGGGCAACAAGAGTGAGTGCTGTCAGATGGGGGTCCCCTTAGGGAGGTTTCTTACTGTCATTGCAACATTTGCACATTTTTAACCACAGCTTTGGTTTAAGTTCGTGTGCCATCAGGGGCCCCTTACTGGCCTGGGGCCCAAAGCAGTTGCCTGCCTTGTCTTGGTTTTTGGTTTCGCAATAATCAGGTCTGAGGAACTACGTTGACCAGCGTGCTTTGCGCGAAATCCACTTCCTAGTTACGTTTTCGTTTGGCTTCCCTTTCAGTCAGTTGTGCTTCCTATAACAACAACAATAACCGACAGGAAGGTATTTGCACGGTCGTGGCTGAGGTTTGTAGTTTTTCCATTATTTTAAAGTAAACTTCCTCAAAGACTTCCTGAGTTTGTTTTTTGGTTTACGGATAAAAAGCGCGACCCGTGAACTCGTTCATCTTGACTTCAACATTTAGTTTTTTCTTCCCTTCACAAAGCTACATATTCAACGCAGATTCACTTAAAACATATTTCTAGATACATGTTTGGATCAGCCACATATGACTCCACTTTACAGTCTTTTTTAATATTTTTTTTATCCTTTGTTTCAGACTAGCTTGAGTCCGCCGCCAACTAGCTAACATAACAATGTTGCCTTCAGGTGCTCCTCGGAAATGTCACATTCGCTGTATCAAAGAGTTACGCGCTCATGAACGCCCCTACAAAGTCGTAATTACGAGTGGGAATTGGGAAATTAAGAAAGAGTGTCGATTTCAATTAATCACATGTGATGCCTGATAGAAGTTGCTTTTAAAATCATGCATTTATTCAGAGATGTGGAAATATTTTTTGTGTTTCCTGAAATAATTAACTTGAAAGTATTTGTCGCTTATTTTATGACTGCCTGCATGTTGACATATTTTGGTTAAATGTAGTTTTTTTTTTTTCTCCAAAGCACAGACCAACTTAAATGTTTAATTGTTTAAGTTCTGTACACAATTTTAAAAAGTAACATAACAAAACGGCAACATATAACAAAAATATATACGTCTGTAGTCAAAAGTTATTAAATTAAGAATAAAAAACTGTGCACTGACTAACTTGCAACATCAGATTTACTGGCAACATTTCTACAACTTTAAAATTTCAGTACCAAAACATTGTCAGTAAATGTTCTGTGGAGATCTAGAGGAAACACTCAAGATTCATCAATTTTTTCATCGAGTGGGCCTCTAACTGTGACTCGTACTAAAACCAAATCAAAGTCCAGATATGTTTTGAGGTTTAATTATACAAAAGACAGTCAAAATAATTCTATACAGGGTAAATTATAATTATGACGACTATGATGGTCAACTGAAAATATTCAAACTCACTCACCCTCTTTGTCTGCCTCCCGCTATAAAACTGAACAGGTAGAATAAGGTTAAATGACGCCCAAAGTGCAAATTACCAGACATGATGTCAAACCTATATAAGGAGCGATACAAAAATAATCAACAGAGGTGAAATACACATTATAGCTCTTACACTGAATATTCCATGTCTTATCTCACAGGGCAACAAAGCAAGACGTGAGAACAGCGCTGTACACCTCCGATGAAAAAGGAGAGACTGGAGACCCAGAATGGAGGATTTCAGGCGGGCGTACCTGCGTCTGTGTAAGGAGGGAGGAGTGGAGCCTCAGGAGAGCATTGTGGCTCAGCTCCATGAGAGCAGGGTGTCTACACAGGCCTGCAGACTGGACCTGTGCGGACAGAGTCTCTCTGTAGAAACCTGCTCTGTGCTCGCCAGGGTGCTACACAACGATACCGAGTTCACAGAGGTGTCCTTCAGTGACTGCATGCTCAGCGAGGAGGGTGAGTCACAAACACACAAACAGTCTTTTTTTTTTTTAGGGCTGTCAAACATCCTACTTGTAGAAGGACCTACTTTTGTTCCAAGCCATGAAAACAACAATTTATATGTAATGTGTACATGTTGTTTCCACATTAAGACTTTATGGTCATAAACAGCCAATAGATAACTTCCCAACTTCAGACCACCTCTCTTCTCTCTGGCTCTCGTCTCAAAGCTCATTTTGTAAATCTAAAAAAATGAATAGTTTTTAATCTTTAAGAAAGGGTCAGATTTTCTCTCCAAAACAGGAGGAAATATTGCAATTTCTGGGGTTATTTTCTGCGTTGGGTGAATCAACATGTGGGTGATTTAGGGCAGCAGGATAGTGCTTTATATATAAGTTGTTCACGTTCATGGTAAATCTCCAAACAGATGGGTATCAGAGCGGCTCATTGGTCATTTTAATAGTTATTGGACAACAATGTAGCTGAATTTCATAGAGGTAGAAGATAAATGAGGCTGTGGTTCACACACACACACACTGAGTAGATTCATTCAATGTTAGTTTAAGTCTGAATATCATCAACGCTAACATCACAAGAAAACATGTTTGTGTGACCTTCAGGTGCCAAAGTTCTTCTGTCTGGACTGTTTGCTAACACAGCTGTAAAAGTTCTGGATTTGAAGGTAACATCTGCTGAATTCTTACATCGAAATGAAGTTCTTTTGATATTTATATCAACTGTCGGTCGGTTGATGCAAACTATTGTTCCCAGGGAAACAACCTGAGATCACAAGGGGCCGAGGTGCTGGGGAAACTTCTGGCACGGAACAAGACTCTGCGTAGGTGAGTAAAGGAAATCTGTCTTAAAGTGTATTGGATCACTTACCCTCAACTTCCACATCGTCCATGTGCGCTCCCACTCTATTCAATGATTGTGTTCTACAGAACGCTCCTCGGCCCGTCTCTGGAGCATGCCAGCAGCGCGGCTCTGCGCCATTTCAAATCGGCCATTTATGACGGAGCCCGCAGCAATCACCCGTCAAGCTGAACAGAGTAGATTGGCACAGAGAGGATGTCAGACAAAGAAACACACAGAGCAGCCGGTCATTTTCTAAATAAAACGCGGCCTCCTGATCGTATTTTTCCATCACTTTATCAACATTACGTCAAAACAGGCGCGCTATGAACAACAAATCGAACCTCACAAATGCAAAGAAACTCGTTGTTTGTGCGTTTTTCTCTTAATTCCTCCGTGATCTTGTAGTTCTCCGGGGATCTTGTGAACCTGTGTACAGCTGCTCTGGCTCCAGAAACTGACCCAGTAGGGCAGGGCGGTGCTGTCAGATGGCGTGGAATGCAGCGTGTATGGACTATGTGGAAATTGCGGGTTAGATGTGCATTTAAGTGGCTTCAACGAGAGGCGGCTGAGGCACACTGTCCATCTGTGTATACAGTCTACAGTCCATATACCCGATGCTGAAAAGTGACATGCTGCTTGCAGGCTGGTGCTGGAGTGGAACGCTCTGGGGGTGTGGGATGAAGCCTTCTCCATCTTCTGTGAGGGTTTGGGCTCCAACAGCGGGCTGACACATCTGGACCTGCGCAACAATCAGATCAACCATCAGGGAGCCTCCGAGCTGGCTCTGGCACTCAAACGCAACAACACAGTGGAAGTGCTCGGTGAGTCACAAAGAAATATGAATGTCGACAACCTGGTGAATACTTTCTGATGTCATGTTCCAGCTGAGGGGTTCAGTTATTAGATTATTATTTATTGTCCCACAAGGGGAAATCTGCGTCGCAGCAGGAGCACACAGAAGACAAGAAACACAAGGACAAAATCACCATAGAACATAAACGAAAACACATTTAAAAAAAATCTGACAGCACAACAAAATATAAAACCAAATAAAACATTGCAAAAAAAAAACCCGACGACCTGAGGGTCAAAGGTCAAACTCACTGTGAAGGGGATGATCTGAGATATCAAGTATATTCCTCAGGACCTGCTGGTTATAAATGGTCAAAAGCCCAACTTGATCTTGGCTTCCATACCATGCAGCGATGCAAACATTTAAAACAGATTCAATAAAACTTTTATTAAAGAGAGTCATCATTTCCGAAGAAACATTAAAAGAGTTAATTCTTCTTCAAAAGAACAGTTTTTGTTGAACCTGCTTGGAGATAGCGTCGACATGATTTTCAAAACACAACCTATTGTCCAGAACAACACCCAGATATTTGTAGCTT